AGGTAGGATGTGAACACGCTCAGGTTGCCCGGTACCGTTCTGAGTCCCAGATCCGAACAGTCCACCCGGTGCAGCAGCCCGTCCTCCTCACACCGGCAGCGGTCCGGGCAGGTGGTCCGACCCGCCTGCGTCTCCCCCGAAGCCTCGGAGCTCCTCAGTCCGCCCGAGAGCACCGAGAACCCCGCCAACAGAGCCACGAACCCCCGCATGTCCCGCACGCTGCTGCTCGGACGGGACAGAAAGTCTCGGTTCCGGTCGGAGAGAAAACTAAAGCCGGAGTGTGAGACCCGGATCAGGTGGTTCCAGTACAGCTGGAGGTTCGGCTCAAGTGGACCCAGACTCTTAGCGCATGGAGCTACAGAGGTGTGTGTGTGTGTGTGTGTGTGTGTGTGTGTGTGTGTGTGTGTGTGTGTGTGTGTGTGTGTGTGTGTGTGTGTGTGTGTGTGTGTGTGTGTGTGTGTGTGTGTGTGTGTTGAAACATCTGCGCGTTTCTCATTGATGTTTTTAAAATTTTAGTTTTTTTCTCAAATTAATTTTTAAATAGAAAAGATAAAAATATAAAACGTATAAATTAAATTTAATTAAAACTTCTTCTAAAAATTCTCACTTAACAGGAAAAAATTTATAACTTTTAATCTTGAAAATTAATTAAAATAGTTTCCATAAGGTTAAATGTGAAACTCTGATATATTTTTACATTTTTGTGCTTTTTTCTTATTATAATCCTTTTACTTCGCTTTTTTGATGTTTCAGTCATTTTGTTTATTTATTTAATTTGTCTTAATTAACTTAAAACTTGACTATTTGTTTTTATTGTATTTAATTTTCCTTAAAATTAGTTTTTTTTATCATTTTTTTATTATCTTTATTTTGTCTCAGTTTTAGACAAGTTTGTGTTTGTTGAGATTCAGTCATTCAGGAAGAAACACAATTCCAGTCGTGGATCCTGACTGCAGATCCAGATTTCCGGTGAAGCGGGATTCAGGAGGTGAGGCTGCTCCCGTTGGCGGGAGGACAAAGTCCTGATCCTTCTGACTCGAAACCTGAGCGACAGAAGAAGCAGCTGAGTTAATGAATAGTGTCAACTTCCTGTGTGTGTGTGTGTGTGTGTGTGTGTGTGTGTGTGTGTGTGTGTATAGCGCCTTCTTTGAGATCTACAACCCCCCAAGGCGCTTCACAACACAACCAGTCACATTCACACCCCGGTGGTGATGAGCTACATCGTAGCCACAGCCTCCCTGGGCTACCACCAGTCCCTCCGACCACCACCAGCAGGCCAGGTGGGTAAAGTGTCTTGCCCAAGGACACAACGGCAGCGTTCGCTGTCCTGTTGGTCGTACTCACATCGACTCAGAGCTGATGATGTCACAGGAGTCAACACTTAAGGGCAGGAACGTTAACGCAGCAGAAACACCTGCTCTTTTATTCATGTTTGGTGTTAAAACTAAAAGTTGATATGAGATGAATTTGTTGTTTTTACTGTTGCTCTGGAGGTCGAAGCAGACAGAGTAGTTGTGTTAGTCTACAACAGGAAGGTGTCAGATACTCTTGGCGTGATCGGCCACGTCTTCCTGGGCCCCAGAGTGACTCATTAGCTTGTTAAAGGGACCATATGATGCTAAACGCCACGTTGGCATCCTTCTGTGCTGCCTTGAGCGCCTCCACAAACACTCAAAGCACGAATAAAACTGTAAAAATGGTTTTCTGCTAGTGTTTGGTTTTCTAAAACACGCTGTTTAAAAAGTCCCATTTTGTGATGTCACAAGCAGGGATGTTAGCATAAAAGCACCACCGCCACCTGTCCACGCTGGAGAAGTAGCACCTCTCATGGGAGCTGCTTTTGCATATCTGAGCTTCTCACCTTATAACAGCCAATCAAGGGATGGGTGGGCGTGACCAGCTTGTCATCTAAAAGTGGCCGCTCCCTGAGGCGACTCATTCTGGAGAGAAGGACCTGGCTGCAGCACGCAGAAGGGGGCAGCATCGGGTCAGTGGTCAGACTCATACCATATTTGGAAATGATGCAATAGCATTCTGGAACTGAAGGGGGCCCTTTAACTAATATAATGGGATTACACGTGGTGTGCCCCAGGGTTCAATTTTAGGCCCAGTGCTTTTTAACCTTCATATGCGCCCTCTTGGCGGTGTCATCGGAGACATGGGGTGAATTTCCCCAGTTATGCTGATGATAAACAGTTGTACATCTCCGTGTCTCCTGCTGACACAGTGTTAGTGTTTTACTATCTCTAATCAGTTTTTATTAGTTATTTGACTATCCATATTAACTTATTAATATTAATATGTATTTATTTATTTTCATTGTACTTATTTTAATCACACCAGTGTTTCCTCTGGGGGCCCTCTGCCTCGGGGGTGGTCGACTGTGGCCGCCTGGGTGCTCCTAGGGGAGTGCTTAGGCGGTGGTGGGGTTTCTGCCCTCCCTCCCTGGGCGCCCTGGGTTGGTGCCTTGGCTGCTGCCATTGATCAACTACTGCCGAGGCAGATGGCTCACCTGATGGCGTGTCATTCATTACCTAACCCATCTGAACTCAGCCTAGTGTTTACTTATGCAGTATTTTAGGGGGGGGGGGGGGTAGGAATATGGGTTATATGGGGTCGTTTTGATCTGTTAAGCACTCAGAGCTGCATTTTGTTTTGTATGAAAAGTGCTACACAAATAAAGTTGGATTGATTGAACCTGAAACATGAGATCGAGGAGGATGCAGAGGTTCAATGATTGAACAGTTTTTGTTCCATGTTATGAAAAATCTACTTTTAGGACTTGTTACCGTGGGATTTTGTCATTTCCTCATAAAAAAAACACCCCCAACCCTTTCATTGGCTGCATTCATGCATTTTCCTTCTCTCAGCTGAAATGTGGTCGATGTAAAGCTTTTTCCTGCTAATGGGAGAAAGTAGCCCACTACCAGGCCTTTCTCCTGCCCCTGAAGCTGGTCTGGTCTCAGTTCTGAAACCTGGACATACGGCAAAGTATTTCTGCAAATACTTCTACGCCGTTGGATAAACAGCTCATCCCGCCTACAACGCCACGCGTGATGGCAGGGGTGTACGACCTAGGCACCGTTCACGTTGTATCAGAGTCAGTGGTGTAGAGTTAGCGTCAGACTGGTGTGGGTTTGTGCAGGTTGGCCTCCCGGTCGCAGTAAGAACTTTATCTGTTTTAGCAACACTTGCCGGTAAGATGTTTTCAACCCTTTATTGGTGAACTGTTTAAAATATGAGGACTACTCTGTTTGTTAACTTCCTTTGTTTATTTAGCCGGCGTGAGTCCATGTGTGAGCAGAGCCTCGACTAAAAGGCTGCTTAGAAACGAGCGAATGCAAAGATCTTTAGAAACATAAAATATTTAGCAGAAAATAATAAAAAAATCACTAAAATATAAATAAATGAAATCTGTTTCAGCTGCTAAATCAGTTACTGCAGAGACCACCTACCGAGACGATCATCAGATACAGAAGCCACGGGACCACCAGAGGTAATACTAACGTGAGTCTGGAACGGCCATCAGCAAATTCTCTTAAAGGAACATTTTCATTATGGGATGTAAATTCAGACCTTCACTGTAGTAAATTATATTTATCTCTCTTAATTTGGCCACAGAACAGAGTTTTAACAACTGTAAACTAGTAACAGCCGTGGTTCATATGGGTCTGACAGCTGGCCCGACAGCGCCCCCTTCTGCCTGCTGCAGCCAGGAAAACCATCTTTTCTAAACGCCTCAAGATAAAAACCACAAGCTGCTTCACAAAAACAAAACTTTTAAATATAGAAAAGATTAAAAAAAACGGATAAAAATGTGTTTCAAATGAAAGCAAAAATTGTGACTAAATGTAAGGAAATGAGAGAGGAAGTGAAATCAGTGGATCCCAGGAAAGGTTGAGCTGAAAGAGCAGAACCAGGAGAGGGTGGTGAAGGTCCCACCAGAGCCTGAGCAGGTGAGTTTAAAGGAGACCACTGAGTCCACTGATCTCAGGCTCAGGGGGAGAGAGCTCCAGAGTCTGGGGGCCACAGCAGCACAACATGAGGGGGAGAACTTCATAAACATGTTTTTTATCACCTTTAGAACTATTATAAGATAAGATTAAAGGTCTTTTTATGCCCCCATAACCCTCCTGGGAAGGGTTGAGCAGGGTTGACGGGTTATGTCTTGGGTCCACGTGGCTGGGGTGAGGTGGTGCTCGCTCCTCTAAAACACCTGGTACCATGTGACCTCGTTAGGAACGTGGATGGACGACAGAAAACTCGGATTAGAAGTGAAATATTTTCACTGCAAAATGGTCATAATGTGTCCTCTTTAATCATCCTCATCTCTACAAATGGGTGACCTCTGACCTTTTAGATCTCAGATGGAGAGTTGTTTAGAAGTCATAATTTTTAGCTACCAAAATAAAATCTTCAAAACAAAACCTGAATTATTTGGGGAAACTAAATATTTAGACAGAAGTCCTGAAACAGCAGGACCGCCTCCGACATCTTGTAATAAATAATCTTTATGTTGGAGAAGTTCTGGCGAGACATCGCCACCTGGTGGCTGAAAAGGCCCACTACAGAAAACATGTCAACATTTCCAGGTTTTTACACCAAAGATCTAAATATTTTAACTCCCAGGAACCAAACTTTACATCGAAACCTGTTTAATTCTGTTTAACTGAAAATGTTCTGTCCCTTTTAGTGATTTTCTAAAGGAAAACAGGCGTGCGTGCGTGCGTGCATGCGTGTGTGTGTGTGTGTGTGTGTGTGTGTGTGTGTGTGTGTGTGTGTGTTAAAAAAACCATATGCCCTCACAGCCATGACTGCCTACTCCACCCCCCCTTAACCTGGGCAATAAACAACCTAACTAAGCTAAATAACCGAGAGTAAATAATAAATACTAAACAAAAATAGTTCACTTTAGCAAGAAAGAAAGAAATCAAGGTAGGTTTAAGCCTCTGGAGGCAGGCGCTGCAGGTTAAAACCTACCTGGTTACTCCACACGTACTCAGGAGTTCCCTGAAGGACTTCGTTGTTCGTTCTTTTATCAACACTTATTTAGAGCCTGAGAGGGTTAAGCCTGCGGTAAACAAAATACAAAAATAACTCCAACAACCCAGGCCCTCATTGTGAAGGTACTTTACCCACAATTAACCTTAGCATAAGCAAAAAGATGCTATTTCCTGATTGAAGCCTAGGCACTAAGCCAGTGCTGATCTTCAGAAGAGCATGTGAGATACTCCAGGAGACACCAGAGCGTGGTGACTGGTCTGTCTAGGATGCTGGTCTTTGTGAATGGACCGGTCCTCTGGGGTCAGCTCTAGAGCTCAGAGCTCCGCCCATCATCCCAGAGCCTCTTGGAGCTGGAGCATCAGCGATCAGAAACATCTCCCTAGGAGAAACTTCTCTTTTTTTCTTGTCCAGTCGGACACTCCCATATGATAGATGACCCGCACTTGTACAGCGCCTCTCAGAGTCAGGACTCCAAAGTGCTTTACACTACAGTGTATCATTCATCCATTCACACACACATTCACACACTGGTGGTGATGAGCTACGATGTAGCCACAGCTGCCCTGGGGCGCGCTGACAGGCGAGGCTGCCGAGCACAGGCGCCACCGGTCCCTCCGACCACCACCAGCAGGCAAGGTGGGTTAAGTGTCTTGCCCAAGGACACAACAGCAGAATTCTCTGTCTGGAGCCGGGATCGAACCTGCAACCTTCCGATTACTGGACAACCCGCTCTGCCTGTTGAGCTGCTGCTGTAAAAGTAAAAGACTCTGCACAGAACCCTGCCGATGATATTAGCCGAGGTAAATCTCTCGACGCGTTGACACCAGACAGCCCCTCGGGTGAAGGTCCAACGTTCCTGTGGCACAAAGCCCACAGACCCGGACAGTCAGATTACTCGGAGGAGCGTAAGAATCTTTCATTCTGTGGTCCACTTCTGCGATGCCGAGTGATCTCCCTGAAGCCAAGCAGTTCTCGTCTTTGCAGCACCTCCTGAGTGCCACAACGAAGAGTCTATCTTGGACGGCTCTAGGCGCAGCCTACGCACAAGCTCAGCTGGCTCGGTTCCGACAGGTCCAGAAAGTTGTTTCAAAGGTCACCAACATCAAACCATAAAAGTGGGTCTTCAACCTTGTTTTAAAAACTGCTGCTGATGGAGAGCGCCTTACGGATAGGGATGGTGCGTTCCAGTTTTGGTGCTGCTACGGAGAACGCTGTAACGTCCAGGAAGGGTCCGTTTTCACCTACATAGTGACCTACATAGTGACCTACATAGTGACCTACACAGTGAACGGTCATATACCGTATTTTCCGGACTATAAGCCGCTACTTTTTCCCATGCTTTGAACCATGCGGCTTTAGTCAACCAGAAAGGATGGATGCTGGAAAGTCTAATGAAGGAATGGTTAAAGGAGCGCTACGGAAAGCGCCCAGGAGGATTTTTTTCACAGTAAAACGGCGCCGCTTGTTTTCCCAGCTTCACCCAGGATGATGACAGCGACACGGACAGCGACACAGAAAAGGTGTGTGACGAAGCTCTTCTGAGGCTGTTCAACTCCGACACTGAAGAGGATGAGTTCAGTGGTTTCAGAGCGCAGGAGGACGATGAATAAACTAATCAATAACTTTTCTGTTTTGTTTGATACTGATCAGTTCAGTCACGTTCAGTTAAACTACGCTTTCTATTCTGTAGATATCTGCGGCTTTTATCCCGGTGCGGCTTATATTGAGGTGAAATTACGGTACTGATATCCCGTTTTTTTAATTCTATCTGCTACAAGCCAGGAGATTCTGCACAAGATAACTTACCGTCAACAAACACGCTCTCCCAAGGTCTCCAAGCTTTCCTCTCGTCTCAGACTGCTGGACTCCACTCTGAATTCAACTTAAAATTAAATAATCATACGGTTGAACGAACAAGAATGTTTTGGTTAATCTGTGCCTAAACCAATGAAGTTGAAGCGAACGTGTCCTTGCAGCATCCATTTGTCTGATAATCAGCGTGCGTGACTTGACAGCTCACACTCAAACACATGACGTTATGACGAGGTTAATCTCACGACACAAATCAGAGCATCTTTTATCTGAAGGAGTGCTCTGAGGTTTGTTTGGTAACACCTCCTCAACATGGCATGCTGTGATTTGCCAGAAAATCACAACATAGGAATTAACAAAACTTCGATCACTTCCCGAGTACTTCAGTTCGCTGAGGAAGTTTGTTTCCAGCTGAGACTCCGGAGCGGCCTCTCTGAAACATCTCTCTGACACACAGTCAAAAGCTTTTTGCACGCTGCAAAGCTGACACAGCCTCGACTCCCTGAGAGTTTGAGAAGCATAACGAGTCCACCTGTTTGTTGTGACCTGGAGACGACTCTGGACTGACCAGGTCGCGCTGCAGGTAATCTACGACCTTCAGCGCCTTGGGGTCGCCCGAACCCCGACATCTCAGATCCTACAGGGAGTCTCCATTTGGGGTACGTAGACACAGCGAGATCGCGTCTGATGTTTTATTAACAAATCAACTCGAGTTATAGCAGACCAACTTCTCTTACACCCAGAACTCAGTCACAAAGGTTCTGATCACACATCACCTTCCATCCACACATCGTTTCATAGCTTGTCGTGTAAAATAATTAGTCTAGAAAATAAAGTTTATTTTAATGATATCCTTGACTCTGTCTGAATTAATACGAAGTGTGTTTATGGTCCCTGAAGAAGCAAAGAATCCTGAATTCTTCTGGTTAAACGTTCAAAGATCCACCAGGTTGATATTCTATATTCATAAAGAATCATCATCACATCTTATAGGTAATAATTAAACCCCCCAAAATACACTACGTAACAACCGTTACAACGCCCTTTCCGCTCTCATCTTTAGCCAAGCGCTAGGAGCCACTAGCAGCAACCAGATCTCAGTGAGGAGCATTAGAGCAAGGACATATGGCTGCACCAACTCCATGAAATAAGCTGGAGCCACTCCGTTCAAAGCCTTGGAAACCAATAAAAGGAGTTTAAAACGAACTCTAAAATCCACAGGCAGCCAGCGAAGAGCAGCCAGAACAGGTGTGACGTGATCAAACCTGTTTATGCCAACCAAAAATCTCGCTGAGGCATTCTGAACAAGCTGCAGGAGAGCTACTTACCCCAAACAAGACAGGATTACAGTAGTCTAGGTGTGAGGTCATAAAAGCATGAACCACAGTCTCAAGATCCTGTCTAGATAAAAATGGTTTCACTTTAGCCAACCGTCTCAGGACACCATAGTACCAACGTGGGCATCAAACCACAGGGCATCTTCACTCTGTCTGGACCCATCTGCCTAAAAACCGCAGACCCATCTCTAAACGAGCCTTCATCTCTAAAATATTGTAAAAGGTTGTGGCGGATCAGCTGATGACTTTTCTGGAACTACACAACAGTTCTGACAAGTTCCAGTCTGGTTTTGGTGAAAAGCGTTCAACAGAAACAGATTTGTTTAAAGTTTCCAGTGACATCATGATGGCTGCAGACAATGGGGAGTTCACAGTGCTAGTGATGTTAGATCTTTCTGCAGCTTCTGACTCTGTTGATCACAACACCTTAATAACAGACTTGGTGACTCGGTGGGGATCTCTGGAACTGGTCTAGACTGGTTTAGATCGTACCTTTCTAACAGAAGTTACGATGTCTGTATAAACCACATCATGTCAGATTCTACCCATCTGTTCTGTGGGGTACCCCAAGGCTCTGTTTTGGGACCACTGTCGTTTCTGCTGCACATGCACCCTCTTGATAATGTCTCTTATCACCTATATGCAGATGACGTTCAGCTGTACTGCTCCTTTAAGGATTCTGAGTTCTATAAACTGTCTGAATGACTAGAGCGTCTATCAGCGATCACCAGCTGGCTAGAAGAAAACTTCCTCCAGTTAAACTCTGAAAAGACTGAATGTCTGATCATCGCCCTTGAGAGCATGGTTCCCCTGATTAGTCTAGTCTTGGTCATTTATCTTCTGTCAAGACAAACTTAAGGAATTTGGGTGTTTTTGACCATCAATGTCTCTTGAAGGCCACTCAAAAACGTTGGTCCAGATGTGACGTGTGAGCGTCCTGTCAGTGTCCTGACTGATCATGCGCCCTGGCTACTTGGCCAAGGGGATGTCCCTTTGGCTGATTGGTAAGTGCACGTGACTCTCACCCAGGAGTCTGGGGATCGAATCCCGCCCGGGCCCTCGTTTCTATGCCTTGCCACACAAAACTGTTTATATAACTTAAGAAATATCTCCAAACTGAGAAGGTTGGTGTCAAAACACGAACTAGAAATGGTTCTCCAGGCCTTTATCTCCACCCATCTAGACTACTGTAACACACTCTTCACATGTTCTAACAAGAGTCCTTGACCGCCTTCAGCTGGTCCAGAACTGACAGTCTGGACACTTAAACAGCTGAAGACCCTTTAATTTGAAGCTGTTTTTACATAAATCTTTTATTTTCTTATTTTTAACAGAAATTTGTATCATCTTTTGTCTGTTTATGAAAAGGTATCATTTTATTTTTCTGATTTTAATTTATTTCTATTTTAAGATAATTATTTTATGACTTTTTGATCCATGTGAAGCACTTTGTGATTTCCCGTCTGTCATGAGTGCTCTATGAATAAAATATACTTATCGGTTCATGTGTGTTTTTATGTTTTTATGTGTTTTATGTAGATTAATTTTTCGTTTTGTTGGACGTTTTGTTCTGCTCCTGGCTCGAGCAGCAGATCAGCTGGTTGAAGAGAATCCGGGCACTGCGGGGAAACCAGAAGGAACTTCCATCACCACCACTTGAAAATAACTTATTTTATTTGTTTAAAAGTAAGCCAAAGTATGCTGTTTACAGGAATAAAACATGCACATGATCGTCTGTTTGGGGAGGATAACGTTAATAAGGAAACTAAAACATTAGAGACGAGGATGAGGAGCAGACCCGAGCAGAACCTTTTACTCCAACAGGTCAGAAACCCGACATGTTCAGTAGAAAACCGGTTTACTCCAGAAACAAGTAGCTCAACTTTATTCTTTTCATTTTTAAATCCTGTTTGACATGATGCACACCTGAACACTCTTGATTAATGATTCACAAGCTGACGATGTTCACGTTATTCTGTACTTTCCATCAGAATATTTAACTTTGACCAAGTTTCTGAATCAAATCAAATATATTAATTCTATTGATGTATCCCAACAGTTGTGCATTATTTAGCTAGGTTTCATCTCTGACCCTGCTGCAGGTGTCTGCTGCTGCAGGTGTCTGTAGCTGCAGACACCTGCAGCAGCAGACACCTGCAGCTACAGACACCTGCAGCTACACCTGCAGCTACAGACACCTGCAGCAGCAGACACCTGCAGCTACAGGTGTCTGCAGCTACAGACACCTGTAGCTAGACACCTGCAGCAGCAGACACCTGCAGCTACAGACACCTGCAGCAGCAGACACCTGCAGCTACCGACACCTGCAGCTACAGACACCTGTAGCTACAGACACCTGCAGCTACAGACACCTGCAGCAGCAGACACCTGCAGCAGCAGACACCTGCAGCTACACCTGCAGCTACAGACACCTGCAGCAGCAGACACCTGCAGCTACAGGTGTCTGCAGCTACAGACACCTGTAGCTACAGACACCTGCAGCTACAGACACCTGCAGCAGCAGACACCTGCAGCTACAGACACCTGCAGCTACCGACACCTGCAGCTACAGACACCTGTAGCTACAGACACCTGCAGCTACAGACACCTGCAGCAGCAGACACCTGCAGCTGCAGACACCTGCAGCTACACCTGCAGCTACAGACACCTGCAGCAGCAGACACCTGCAGCTACAGGTGTCTGCAGCAGCAGAGCATGCCCAGTGCAGCTCTGCTGCTACACTCCTCTCCACTAGCGGGTTCTTCAGTAACCAGCGGTAACCTCTGAGCCTCGCTCTCCTGCGTCAGACCGCCCGCTCATCACTCTACTCCTCCAAATTTAAACACATCCAACATGTTTGTGTTTCCAGAAGTTAAACGGAGTTCTGTACAGCTGCTTCATCCCCAAACAGAACCGGGACCAGACCCAGAACCAAACGGAGGACGTTTTACAATCAAAGTGCTGCAGAAAGCACAGACAGTTAAATCAGAAGGTGAGTTACTTTTATTTTGTTGAGCAGGACGACACCGATAAACGTGTGTGTGAAGATTATGTTTGCAAGCACGTGTGTGTGTGTGTGTGTGTGTGTGTGTGCGTGTGTGTGTGTGTTAGCCAGAGCAACACCCTCTAGCGGGCGTGGCCTGTGGCTCATCATCAACGATCTGAACGCCGCGTCTACTGGATGCTGATTGGCTGGCTCCGTTGCCCTTCGCCCTCTCCTCTGCCTGAGCCGTTTCCATCATTCCTGAAGGGGAACGGGAAGAGAAACTAAATCAGGATCGTTTAAAAACTCGTCATTTATTTGTTAAGTAAAAATATCGTAAACAAATAAATGTTTAATCATCTGTCCAAACTGTTAAAATCATTTCATTTCCTCTTGGTTCTGAATCGTGGAACGACCTAAACTCACTGCTGCTCAGCAATAATCAGCTGTTTAGTCCAAACTAATCGATCCCAGAAACTGGATTCACTGTTATTGTGTTGTGAACTGCTCGGTGTGATCGGGGCTCGTTTGGACCGGACTGAACGTACGTTTACAGAGATCCAGGAAGAGCTCCTCGATGCCTTTATTTAACTTGGCTGACGTGTGGTAGTGTCTGGCTCCAACCGACTCCGCATAGCTGCACAGAAACACAGAGGTCAGAGGTCAGCAGAGCGCCGGCGCCGCACGCTCCCAGCAGGTCTCACCTCTCTGCCTCCTCCACGGAGACGTGTCTGTCTTTGTCCAAATCGGTTTTATTTCCTGTTAGAAACAGAAGAAGTAGGATGAGATCCGATGCCGTTTGGAGGATCCGGGTCAGAACCAGAACCAGAGTTAAAGCCAGCAGCGGATCTTCTCACCTACGATACATAAACAAATGTCGTTGCCCAGCATTTTCCTCAGCTCTTTGACCCAGTTCTTCACCTGCAACGACACAAACAGCTGGTTGGGCTGGGAACACCACGGGACCTCGTAAAGCTCTTAATCACCAACAGCCATGAACCCGAACAGCCGCGGCGGCTAACGCCGGCCCTGAGGCGGCGAGGGTACCTTCTGGAAGGAGTCCTCGTCGGTGATGTCGTAGACTAAAACGGCTCCGTTGGAGTCTCTGTAGTAGATGGGACCTAGCGCGTGAAACCGCTCCTGGCCCGCCGTGTCCTGCACACAGAAGCAGAGTTCACGCTTTTCCCAGAAGGCAGTGGGCGGAGCTACGGTCAGAGCATCTTACCCAGATGGCCAGGTTCACCCTCTTGCCTGTGATGTTGAGTTTCTTTGTGAGGAAGGACGCCTGCAGAGGAAGACGGGCAGCTTTCATAAACATCTTGTGACATTTCATCTTTCTGCAGGAACACTTTGTTCTTCTCATTCGTCAGAAATCGGTTCATCTGGCTGAGCGAGGTCACAGGAACCAGCTCCGGGTTTCGCCACCAGAGCGGCCTGCCTCCATCGTCTCAGGGACGTGTGACGGGTTTATACGTTTGTTTCTGGACTTCTCAGGACCGAGCACGGGTTCTGGAGCCAACTAGAACCAGATAAACCCGTAGAAGTGATGGGATGGGCCGAACTGCTTTAACACACCATCACTGTTCAAACTTCCAGAGTTAGAATTCAAGCCAGGAAGAAAAAGTTGAACTGAATGATGCCGGTTAAAGTTGGGTCAGCGCCGCACCAGGATCGGTGCTTCTCTACCAACCGAGGGTTGCAGACTCGGCTCCAGACAAACGCTCGTCTGCGTTCGCTCATCCCGCTGCAGCGGAAGCAGCCACTGGGTGGGAATCGTCTGCTCCAACTTCTCATGTTGTGCCAGAACCTGCCGGCCTCACCGAACCTCCACACGGCCTCACGGAGCTGATCCTGAGAGTCAAAGTCCACGCGGAGACGGGTTTTCAGTGGAACAGCCATGAGACGCGATCAGGATCTGACGGATTTGTGAGGATGTGAGAGGAAGGAGGAGGAGAAGCAGAAGGAGTCCGGTTTATTGCCACGTAGGTGAGAAACTCATCTACTAGGACTTGTGTCGGTGAGAAGGTGCAAACATGGACACAAGTCAAGAGGAAACACCAGAAACCAGCATGGGTGATGGTTAATCAGGAATCTTACAGCGGAGAGGAAGTACATCCCGCTGATCCGATCTGGATCCACCACCCATCGATGATGCGGTGGCTTCAGACCCATAAACGGTTATCTACAGATCTGATCCCAGACCAGCCCTGAGCCCTGCAGCTAGGAGCACCCAGACCATGTGACCCACTCATGACTGACCTCAGGAACAATCTGGGGTCAGACCACATTACCCAGAATGCAGTTCGAGTGAAACTGAGCTGGCAGAAGCAGGTCGCGTCTAATTCCTGGAATTTACAGAAATAAATCAGGAACAACTCGTTTGTTTACGTCAACAAATAAAAGTTCAGAGGTTGTTGAACACAAACAAAGGCAGGAATGAAGGACTTCAGCAGGGGGGGGGGGGGGGGTCGTCCTCGGGAGGGATGCCCTACAGAAACTAAAGATCCGGTTTTAAACAGGCTCTGCTGTTTGTGTCTACATGACTGGCTCATCCCTTGAGTTATGCCTGAGATAGTTAAAATGCTGCTCTGTGGACGGGACTAAGGTCCAAAGTAAAACTCAGTGGATCCGGAACTTTCCAGGAATGTCTGGCTGCTGGGAACGGGAAGAGGTGAGGATGGGATCAGGAGTTTTACTGGAACACGGACTGGATTTTATTCTAAAACGAAGAAACAACAAAAACAACAACAGTCAGCTGATGAGTGGTGTTATTGGAGTCAGCTGAGGCAGAACCACAGCTCGCTACGCAGGGGTCTCTGATCCCGGTCCGGCGCCTGAAACCGTAAACAAACACCTGACCGAGCCCCCCCAACCAGGTCACAGCCCCGCTCTCCCAGGACCCACAAACAAGCGTCCACTGGTCACGAGCCCAGAGGGCTCGGTTTGGTTCGGTTCCGGTCGGAACCCCGCTGCCTCCAGGCTCACTCACCTGCAGCGTTGTGATGTGTTTGTCGTTGAATTTGTTCTCGCAGTAGCGCAGAACCAGCGACGTCTTCCCCACGCAGCCTTCCCCCAGCAGCACCACCTTGAAGGAAAACGTTTTGCTGCCACCGGACGCCCCCGCTGTTGCCATGGTTACACCTTTATTCCAGGAATCCTCGACTTTAATCCAAAAACAGGCGTTTCCGAGCTACCGCCGCTAATGCTAACCCCGTCGGGACTGAAGCCCGACTTTATTGCGCGGCAGAACCCATGAGAACACTTTGACAACGCTCAGCGCCCAAAGGTTAACGCAGATCTGCCCACAGCGGAGAGAAAAACGGCTTCAAACGCGGAGTCACTTCCTGCCTCTACCCACCAACTAATGGCGTCTCTCCCAGCTAGCAGCTAACAAGCTAGTCCAGCCGAAGCTGGTCTATCCGCGTCGGGAGGGCTCACTGGGAGCGGTGCTCTGTTATTTATACAACCATTACAGCAGTTTTAGATCAGATTGTGTTAACATTTATACAAGGAGGGAGGTAAAATCAACCATTCACCATAATTTATGAGATTATCTTTGTTAAAGCGTCTCGGGGAGTCTAGAAGCGCACGGGATATTTAGGATAAACCACGAACAAAACGAGTTTATCAGGAAAACACGGCAGGTGGTGAAAGTGATTATGTCCAAACAGATGCCGCAATAGCAGTAAATTAACGTTTGTGCGCGCGCGCATTTGTTCGTATGTAAGTGGGGTTTCGTGTGTTTAACGTAATCTATAATTTTCCCTCCGAAAACTGAAGAGTAAAGTAAGTCTAACTATCCTGAACCCAGAGTGAGACATCTTGTCGATGTGCTCCGCTCTGTTCTGTCACGTGACCACGTGCGTCAGCTGCTCCGGAGTTTCTCACGTTGGCCCATCAACAACCCGATCACAGTTCCCGTTTTGGTTTGACTCGCTGGCGTCATTTTGGTGTTTCTTACAGAGAAAATAAACCCAAGGTGTTTAAATTCCTCACAACTAGACTCAGATGTTTGAAGATGTTTCCAAAAAAACAATTCATACATTTTAAGACTCAACAAGAAGGTCTGGCATGAAGAAGAAGAAGAAAATATCATTTCTATAGCGCCTCTCAAGATAAAAAATCACGAGGCCTTTCACAAAAATAAAAATGTAAAAAATATAAAAAAGCATTTAGAAAATGTTTAAAAATATATTTAAAATGAGCAAAAATAGGCAATTGTGATTTAAAAGAAAAATGTTAAAGAGAGAGAGTGAACAGGAAAGAGGGAAATCAGTGGATCCTGAGGAAGGTGGAATAGGTGGGGAGAGCAGAATAAAGAGAGAGAGGTGAAGAAGGTCATACAGAAGCCAGCTTGAACAAGTGAGTCTTCAGCTGCTTTTTAAAGGAGACCACTGAGTCCACTGATCTCAGGCTCAGGGGGAGAGAGGTCCAGAGTCTGGGGGCGACAGCAGCAGATGATCTGTCACCTTTGACCTTTATGTGACAGTGTGAGCGTCCTGTCACAATGTCCCGATTGATCATGCGCCCTGGCTACTTGGCCAAGGGGATGTCCCTTTGGCTGACTGGTGAGAGCGTATGACTCTCACCCGGGAGTCAGGGGATCGAATCTCGCCCGGGCCCTCGTTTATCCACCTTGCCACATTTAGCCTGGTGCTGCACAACCAGTAGGCTTTGGTCACTGGACCTCAGGGACCTGCTGGGGGTGTAGGGATAAATGGGCCATTCCCATCTGTACCTGGTCGGCCCGGCCCGGATAGCATAGCTTGCTCACATATCTTGGCAGCCTGCCTTTTTTCTGGGTGCAACGAGACTGTTTTTCAGCCCTCTTTCTGAGGGGGTCTGCTTCAGGCTGACCAGGGCCAACACACCCACTGCTGACTGATAAGCCAGCTTATCAGTCAGCAAATTCACACCTTCCATTAGAGCAAGCCTCTGATTGGTGGGTAGAATCAGCCCACATGGGCTTCAGGCATGCTCAATTCATTATCATGCTGATTACCTAGAAGCTGAAAATGTCTCTGACTGCATTCCTTGCATACCTAAGCAAGGATGTGTGGAATCAACCGGGCCAGGCTGGGGCCGACTGGAGCTATCCGGGCCGGGCCAACCAGGTACAGATGGGAATGGCCCTTAAGGGCCTTTAAGAAGATCACCAATGTAAGATGGTGCTTGTCCATGTAGGGCCCTATAGACCAGAACCAGGATCTTGAAATGAACCCTGAAGTTGACTGGCAGCCAGTGAAGCTGGAGGAGTAGCGGGGTGATGTGGGTGTGTTTGGAGGACTTGGTCAGAAGCCGAGCACAGGCGTTCTGAACCACCTGTAGACGGTTCAGGGAGGTTCTGCTCAGACACGTGAAAAGAGAGTTACAGTAGTCTAAGCGTGAGGAGATGAAGGTGTGGAGAACTGTCTCAAGTTCAGAGCGGGACAGAAAAGTGGTCTGCTTATGCAAATGAAATGCGTACATCTTGTCATTAAGCAAAAGCAGCTGTGATAACGTTTAAAAATGTCTGAAAAACAACAGAATCAGAAAAGTTGTTTAAAATGATCACTTTCTAAAACTCTGTTAGGTTGAACTTCTTAGAGTAATGACTTCAGTCTGCAGGTTACTGCTGGCGTGTTGAACTGAGCTAAAACACTGAATGGTTTCACTTAAAAACCACAAATGTTGTTCACATCCCATTCAGAAACCTTTTGCTTGTTATTGTGTTGCCGTAGCTGGCGGCTCCACAGCTCAGACATCTGCTAAGCTGATGAAGTAACAAACGTATGATCGCATTTTTAATGCTGCCCTTTCTCTTTAAAGAGCAAGTCACCCCCTACCAGATTCTTACTCCGCTCCCACTTCCTGTTTGAAAAATGCAACAAATGCTGTTGCCTGGCAGACCGAGAGGGCGGAGCCACTAACAAATACACACACACACACACAGGCTCACAACAGCATTGTGACATCATAATGTACCAGTTTACATCATAGCATACTTCTTAGCCAATAGCGGTGGCAGATTTAAATTAAAATGCAGTGCAGAGTTTTTACCTGACAACGGCACAACACCGCCAGTTTTAGACAGAATAATTAAATTTAACTAAGATGCACTGAAGTGCCAAATTATTGACGACACGTGTCTGCAGCACGATTAGACACTCGTTTATATAGTTTATCAGCAAAAAAAAAGTTTATTTGGGGGTGACTTGCTCTTTAATGCTGCCCTTTCTCTTTAAAGAGCAAGTCACCCCGTACCAGATTCTTACTCCGCTCCCACTTCCTGTTTGAAGAATGCAACAAATGCTGTTGCCTAGCAGACCGAGAGGGCGGAGCCACTAACAAATACACACACACAGGCTCACAACGACATTGTGACATCATATGGTACCAGCTAACGTTCTAGGGCACCTCTTAGCCAATAGCGATGGCGGATTTAAATTCAGTGCAGAGTTTTTACCTGACGACGACACAACACTGACAGTTTTAGGCAGGAAATTTAAATTTTTACTAAAATGCACTAAAGTGCAAAACTATTGACTACACGTGTCTGCAGCAGGATTAGACACACATTTATATAGTTTATCAGGGGAAAAAGCTGATTTCGGGGTGACTTACTCTTTAAGTTTCAGGACTTTTTTAGCTACATTAAAAGCTACAATTGGTGCAGATGCGCATCGCCACCGACGCATTCTCTCTAAGACGTGCTAAAGGAGCTCCATGCATACAGCCCACCAGCTCAGGCATCGGGGAGGAAACAGAAGGCAAGTTTTCTGACACCGTGCACGTTCCTGCGATGATTGACGGCACGCAGCTCCTGACCAACCAGCGGTCAGATGTGGAGGAGATGGCATCCAAACAGAAGTGTAGATACGGAGCAAGCACAAGGAAGTCCACAAGGGTTCGGTCGAAGGCAACCGTACTTGTTTGGTTTCTTGAAGATGTGTCGCTTCTCATCCGAGGAGCTTGGGCAGTTCTGACTGGAACATGAGAGGTTCGGGGGTGTTCGGGGGCCCGCGGGCCCCCTATTGAGGACCACTGCTTTGGGGCTTAATCGGTAACCAGAATCCATCCCGCTTCATGTCAAGCCCATGGTTTAGAGTCTCTGACTAAACTAGAGAAGAAATGAGCTAAAGCTCCACCCTCCAGGCTTTTTCTAGTTCTTCTCTGAGGTTCTGGTACTTCTCTGGTTTCTCGTGTTCCTTTTCCTGATGTTGCATCACCTGGTATCGCCACATAAGCCACAACATCTGTCCTCTGTTGTTTGTCCACCACCGCAACGTCTGGTTGGTTCTCCACCACCATTTAGTCAGTCTGGATCTGGAAGTCCCACAGGAGCTCGGCTCTCTCGTTCTCTACCACCTTAGAGGGCGTCACCCACTTTGAGTTCGGGGCTTCCAGTCCGTACTCTGCACAGATGTTCCTGGACCCGATGCCATCCACACATGCTGCAGATGATGAGGGAGGTGCTGGTGTGGAGTTAGTCAGCAGTGCTCTGTCCTGGAGGTGGTACCATCAGAACCCCACTGATGTTAACAGGCAAGTTGTTTATGTGGGAATTTCGATTTTAAAGGCAGACTAGGTAGTTTTGGCTCACTTTTAGCACCTCTAGTGTCCGTTTAGTAGAACCAAAAGCACAACCGCTCTCCTCGCTGTGCGTCCGCCTTAATCTAACAGCTGAAACGTCTCCCAGCCGCCCTGAGTGTCTACGGGAGCCATTCATCACCAAATCAAACAAATCAGCCGTGTTCGTGATCTAAAACATGCAGGAAACGTCCTGCAGCCAGACTGCAGCACCAGGTATGTCAGCTCCATTGTTTTCTATGTCCAGCAAACCAGACAGGGGGGATACTCTGGCCACAGAGGGTGATGGGGGTGTGAGGGGCCCTTCACTACCCTGTAAGGGGTCGTTTTAGCACAAACTGGCTCAAGAAAACGATTTAAAGGATGAAAAGGTTGCTAGTATCCCTGGAAAACACCACTTTGTCACACATTTACTTGCAGAGGAGTTACAACTACAATGCCCGGCCAAAAAAAGAAGTCACACCCAAGCAAAGCTCACACACTAATATTTCCTCTGACCTCCTCTAGCTCTGACTACGACACACATTCACGCTGGCCCACGCGTTTCTGCAGCATCACCAGCTTTATCTCCATCTACTGTCTCACCAGGATCCTGCACTGATGACGGTAGAGTCCGACCGTTGCACAAAGCCTTCTCCAGCACATCCCACAGGTTCTCCATGGGGTTACGGTCTGGACCCTGGACCACTCTTTCACTAACTGAGCCCGATGAATCCTGGCATTGCCATCTTGGAACTTCGCCGTGCCATCAGGGAAGATGGAATAACCTGGTCATTCAGCATATCCAGGTAGTCAGCTGACCTCATTCTTGGAGCACTTCCTGTTGCTGAGCCTAGACCTGACCACC